GAACGTGAATTCATACATCCAAAACGTGGTCTAAAAAGAATGGAGATGATGAAATAAATATTTATATTATGTTAAAACACCTGAGCTTGCCGTGTCTTATTGGGACCTGTTCGCTGCCGTGGGGCTAGACGGACAGGTGGGGTGAGAGAGCTGGGAGGTGGTGGTAATTCCTGGCGGTGCGATTCACAGCCCAGGGTGGAGTGGAGCTCTTGCACTTGGTCGAACGTCCCCGGATCTCATGAGCCGTGCGGCTAAGGGCTCTGCAACGACCAAGCGGTCAGGCACGCAAGCACGACGGCCCCCTGTTGCACCACATCCCTGGTCCCCAAACTGGAGCACCGGCTTGGAAATTCTGGACCGGGGTGGGGGGGAGGCGCCACCTACTGGTACTGATGTGCCTTCTGCACAGTGCCTGACCTCTAATCTTGGGGACGGTAAAGTGTGTGACCGCTTGTCATTGACCGCTGGTCCTGTGCAGGACAGCACAGTCATTGACCGCTGGTCCTGTGCAGGACAGTACAGTGACTGACCATATGGTCCTGTGCAGGACAGTACAATCATTGACTGCTGGTCCTGTGCAGGACAGTACAGTGACTGACCATATGGTCCTGTGCACGACAATACAGTGACTGACCATATGGTCGTGTTCTGTACATCTTGGATATCGGTCTACCTCACTTCTCCTGACACCCCCAACACTCAGCCCTGGATCTCCGTGTGAGTAGCTGCTCGATGTGTGTGTTTTAGAAAGGGGGTTCAGGTTGTCTTCTGCTTTTTAACCCCTTGCTCACTCCCCTCCTGCATGCTTTCTCCTGCACCCTCTTCCTTTTGCATGCAAAAGCCCCAGGTCTGCAGCACACAAAGGCCTTGAAGTCTTCAAATCCCCTTTGACTGGCCCTCTCCCCACTGTGCCCCCCCCACCGGCCCCTCTGTCTTTCCAGCAGGGAGAGGGGAGAGCAGAGATCAGGTCACCTCTCAGATCTCCGGGCTACAGTCAGCTGTCCTGAAAAGAGCTGGTGTGTGTGGGAGGAGGGTGTAGGTTGAAGTTAATAGCAGGATTAGTAAAGAAAAGGTCTGAATCACAGGGATTTAGATCACAAAGAACCCCCCCCACACTCCGTTTCTGCAGAAGGCCCCCACCAGCTCGCTGTCTGGGGGGTGAGGCTACACAGACTCCCGTTTTAATTTCAGGTGGTCGTTCTGCACCTCTGCACAGCTCTGGGCGGTTACCACGGTGAACGTGCACAGTAACTGTTTTTGCCAGGTTTTTCCTGCATTCATGCCGTGCGTAGCTGGGGGGGTGGGGGGTGAGGACAAGGGGCCGCAGGAGGAAGGCTGCAGGTTCAAATCCCCCATGGGGTACAGCAGTTGTATCCTTGAGGAAGGCTCCAGTTACACCCCCTTACCCTCTCAGCTGTTCTCCTGGTCAGCGCCGTAAACGAGACCTTGTGCTTCAACGGAGTTATTTTGTGGAGCGAGCGCGGGGGGGTTGCGAGTTCAAACCCCAGGTGAGGCACAGCCCTCGTACCCTTGCACTGCTCCGGTAACATGCCCAGCTGTACAACGTGAATTGCGTCGGATAATTTCATCAGCCATCAGGGGCTCGGCTGCGCTCTTTCGCAGGAAGTGAAATATTGGGGGGCACTTGATTTTTTTTTTTACATGTTCCGCCGCTCACGCCCGCAGACAATGGAGAGGAGCTCTGTGGGTCCCCTCTCGCCTCGGGCTCCGTGGAAGAGAGACAGAAATAAAGACGTTGAAAGGAGAAGGGGGGGGGATTTTCAGATGTTGATGCGGGGCAGGACATTCCTGTGTGTGTGTGCGGCGGGGGTCCGTGAATCAAAGGGCGAGCGGCCATTGTTCCGCGCTGAAAGGCTGCTAATGGCCAGCGGTCAGCGCTGACGGCCGAGGGGTCCGAGGGGCCGAGCGCGCACAATGGAGCCCCGCTGCGCCGCTTCCTGGAGCAATCCGCGAGCGTGCGGGTGTGTGCTGGGGGGGGGCTTCAGATACAGGCAGACGGGTGCGCAGATGACCAGCTAAGAAATGATATCAAGCGCGTTTTTTTTGGGGGGGGGGGCGCCCCGCTCTGCAGGCTGGCCACGACCCGCCCGACCCACAGCGCGCGGGGTGGGGAGCTGGAGAGGATGAATGATTCGCGTTTGCGTGGGGCGCGGCGTCCGCTCCCTTCCGTGTCCGGCGTGTCGTGGGGATGATAGCCGGGGGCGGGTGAGCAATTAGCCGACATCTTCACGCCCGCGTGAAACCGCCCCGACGGGTTTTCGCGTCTGCCCCGCGAGCGTGGCTGCCCGTGACGTGTTCCGGTCCACGAGCCCGGGCAGAAGTCGCCCAGAATCCCGGAAACGGATTCTTCTCCCAGATAGAAGAGGGGATGTTGGGTTCTCTACACCTCCTGCAAGTCCAAACTCAAAACCTTCTTCTTCGGAAGAGCCTTTACTGACTTGGCTCTGTTCTTCACCCCTCTGGTCCTGTATTCACACCCCCATCTTCCGTCTCCTCTCGTGGTGCATTCCTTGCGTGTTTTTTTTTTTATGGCTGTCTTTCTGTAAAGCGCTTTGGGCAGCCACCGTTAAAGGCGCTGTATAAAATAAAGTTTATGATTACCACGCTTTCAGAAGTTACAAAACACGACTCCTCCTCTCAAAAAGCTTTTTTTTTCTGACTTGAGAAACGAGGTGAGGACACCGCACTGGAGCAGCAGGCTGGGAGATGAATGGTGCTGAAGGTGTTCAAAAGCGTGTTAGAAATTCTTAACGTCCTTGTAAAACTCGCATCACGACTCAGTTTGGGGAGGGGGACAGCGCCAACTGCGCTTGTCCACCTCGTCGAAAATACCGCAACATCGCGTGGGTCTACGCGCTTGTGTGGATTTGCGCGTGTTTCTCCGCTCATGAGGAAATTGAACGTGTTTTGACTCCGGCTCCGCAGGTGGAGATCAGGGCCCCAGGGCGCTGATGCGCTCTCACACCGATCTGCGGATTTACACGAAGCCTTAACCCGCTTCCTAATGAGCGGCTTAAAACCTCTCGCCGGGCTCGCTTCTACTCACAGCCGGTCAACAGGCTGATCGTTAGCGGCCCAATTGCAACGCCAGTCCCCTTTCAGCGTCTGGTTTGAACAGGTTCGCCCCAGCGCGTCACGCACACGAAACGCCTTCGGTGGGCTTCCTTCGCGTGAGCGTGTCTATGCAACATATTTAACATAACTGGGTTAGATCATCTCTTTGCTGAGCGAGTTCATTAAGATGCCGATTGTTTACAATCCATCAGCATACTAAGGGCTTCGAAAAGGCGCCTTTAAAAGTGCTATATAAAATCAAGTTTATTATTATAATTGTTGTTGTTATTGTACCTAGAGTCTCATCAAGGCACTGTTTTTGTGCTTTGGCAGAAGTATCAAGGCTTTGGTGCATAGGAATAAAACATTCACATTCGGTTTCTAAAAAAAAAAAAAGCTTTTCACGATTGTCTTAAAATCTCTGGGTGGCTGAGTCACCAGTATCTTTAGGGAGGGTGTCTCAGGTCTTTGAGGCTCAGACGCGAAGTCACACCCGAGCAGTGGGGCCGCTCAGTATATAATATTAATCGTCATTAATCATTAACTCTCCGTGTGTCAGAGCAGAGGAGATCAGCTCCACCCGGGCAGCCAGCGCGGGGGCGCCAGCACCGGCGTGTAGTTGACCACACTTGTACACGACCAAGTCAAGAACGCTGCAGCAGTCAGACCTCGGTATCACGTTTTTAAAGAGGCAGCAATTAGCAGCACAGTGGAAAAAAACACGAACGCGACGCGTGAATCTTTTTTTTTTTTCGCTACGGATGCAGGCCTTGAACATTGTCTCACAGGTGGGCTGGAGGGGAGGAGGAAGGGGGGGGGAGAGGGGTCAGCAGGACGGACTGGCCTCACAAGGCTGGGAATAAAAAAAGCACCAATAAAATAACGGGTGGACGGAGCGTCCTGGGTGTCCACGACCCTGCCACGCCCCTCCACCGCCGAGCCCGGCTCCCGGGGCCCAATCAAAAAAAGATCAAGTTCATTTACAAAATCACCATCAGCTGGGCGCCATTGTGCCCGCCGGCCAATGGGAGCGGCCTCATTAACATGCCGGTCCGGCGGAGGTGATTGATCAGGGAATGTGGCGCTCAGGTTCGGCTTGTTGCGGTCATCGACTTCGGTGGGGGAAGACGGCGCCCGGTTCCTGTGTTGAGCTCGTTGTGAAAACCCGGACTCCTCCGAGTTCGTTGTGGCTGGGAGCTCAGAGCGCTGACGTGAGAGCGGAGGAGAACCACCGCTGGCTTCGGGGGGGGAATTTGAGAAATACCAGCGGGAGAAACTGGCGTCCCAAGTCCCGTGTTCATTATTTTGGTGAATCGCCGTTTCGGCTGGAGAAGAACTACCTCGTTCGGATGTGCTAGCCAGTGCGGTCCTGCGGATTGGAGCAAGCCGGGTCGGGTGTCTTGGTCCTGAGCGGGAGGTGGACAGTGGTGACTCGCCCCCCCGGCAGCCCTGACCCCCTCGCCCCGGGCGCCCCGCAGCCAGCTGGCCATGTCCGAGCGCGGCCTGAGCCCCGCGCAGAGCGGCGCCGGCCGGCCGCTGTACCCGCAGTGGGGCTTCGGCGCCGCGCCGCAACCGTTCACACAGGCCGGCCTGCAGAATCCGGATCCCGCCTCGGCCCCGGCCTACACCGGGATGGCGCATCACCCCCAGCACCTCTTCGCCTTTTCCGGGGCCGGGGCGGACTACAAGAGCGCCGACTTCCAGATGTCCCAGCCGCGGTACTGGTACCCGCCCCCCGGCCCGGAGCTGACCGGCCAGGTAGCGGGAATAAACGCCGCCGCCGCCCAGCCTGTGAACCTCAGCCCCCCCATCGCCGAAACCCGGGAGCAGATCAAGACCGAGAGGGACGCGGAAGAGTACCCGCTGGCCAAGGGCGGGCAGCCGGGCTCCTCTTCCAGCTCGGCCGAGGCCGTGTCTTACTCCGGCCCCTGGGGCTCGCCCTTCTGGCCCGGCCTCGCTCACAACCCGGGCGGCACCCCTGCCCCGGCGGGCTTCCCCGCGTCCAGGTTCCGAGACGCCCCGGCGACCCCGCAGCACCACCACCACCAGCAGCAGGAGCAGCAGCAGCAGCAGACCCCCAGTAGTGGCCAGCCGTCCAGCAGCGGGGCCAGCGACTCGGAGGACGAGGTGAGAGTGCGCGTCGATCGTGCGTGGGCGTGGGGTCGATCCGTGGGTAAGGTCACGGTGAGCGAGCCCCGTGGGTTCGCCGCTGGAGCTGGGTGGACGCCGGGGCGCGGTGTTAATTTACTGCCTGGGCTCGCAGGATCTCGGCTTATTAGGCTTTGAGTGTGGAAGGAGGTTAAGGGAGTTTGTTCGAGGGGATCTGTTCAAGCGTTGTGCCCGATTTTATCGCCCTGAGCGCCCGTTCGTGACGCCCTGCGCTGGCCTGCTCGCTTCTCTCTCGCTCGGCTCGCCGTCTGTACGGCTCCTCCTACTGCAGCCCGGGCCGGTATCGAGGCTGCTGGAGGATCCGCGTGTCCGCAGATTCGGTTCGGATTAGCTCCCGCTAAACTGGTGCTAAGAGCTGTACGACCTTTTAGCGGCGTGTGCTGAGATCTGGGGAATGACGCTGATCGGCCAGCAGGTGGCGCTTTCCCCGTCTGGCCAGAGAAACCCCAGCCCTTCCAGTACAGTGGGGTGTTCACACTGAGGGTCCCGACGGCTTGTGCTCTGATCGGGAGACGAGAGGGTCATGAACTTGCTGCCCTAGAGATTTTCCCCACCTGGTCTGTGCCAGGTGAGAGCTGCTCTCCAGTGGGTTTCTTCCTGTGTGCTGTGCTCTGGGCTCGGGATTACCAGGAGTGATCTAGCGTGGCGAGAGAGGGTGGGCTACCTGACCTCGTCATCCGGCACAGCAGTGGCTCAGGATCTGTGCCTGTGGCTGGAAGGTTGCTGGTTCAAATCCCGTGGCCGGCAGAGGTATCCTACTCCATTGAGCCCCCGAGCAAGGCCCTTCACCCCAACTGTTCCAGGGGCGCTGTATAAACGGCTGACCCTGCGCTCTGACCCCCAGCTTCTCTCCCTGTCTGTGTGTCTCATGGAGAGCAAGCTGGGGTCTGCGAACAGACACATTCCTAATGCGAGAAATCGTATAGGGCCGATAAAGTGATCAGATCATTCCCAGCCTTGGCTTTCTGGGAAAGCTCCTTCCCTTGTCCCGGACAGGCAGGCGAAAGACACCCGACAGGGTCTAACGCACTTAATCCAACACGAACCCGTCCGCAGATAAACGTGCATGAGGTGAAAACACAAGGCCGCAGGTGAATAGGAGAACCCCACTTGCCCACTGGGGAGCTGGGGTTCACCGTGTGTGTGTGTGTATGTGTATGCGCTTGCAGGAGGTGATCACCTCGCAGGACCTGGAGCAGTTTTCCAAGGAGTTCAAGCAGAAGCGCATCACCATGGGCTTCACGCAGGCGGACGTGGGCCTGGCGCTGGGGCACCTGTACGGTAAGCGGGCAAGCTAACTGTCGAGGGGGGGGTGGGGGGTCAGCGCCCCTCTGTCCGAGCGCAGCGGGACACATCCTGAAGTGTCCCCCTCCCTCCCCCGTTTCCTTGCAGGGAAGATGTTCAGCCAGACGACAATCTGCCGCTTCGAGGCTCTCCAGCTGAGCTACAAGAACCTGTGCAAGCTCAAGCCCCTGCTGCAGAGCTGGCTGGCCGAGGCCGAGGCCTCGGAGAACCCCCAGGATGTAAGTGGCCAGCGTGCGGCGCCTGCCCTCTAGTGGAAGGAAGCTGCGCTGCGGTCGGGGCCGAGCGGCCACCGGCTGTCGCCGTTGAGTCGGGTGCTTAAGGATGCAGATCTCTCCCGTTAGTCTCTGGACCTACATCTTCCACAGCTCTTACGCCCCCCCTTAAATGCACCGATTCTGCAAATGTCCTGTGTGAAGTGAGTTGATCCTCTTGTTAATGTTAAAGAGGATCCACCCCTTG